ACGGTCAAACATCACACTATATCACTCATAATGCATGAAAATATGATGAACATCAACTACTGCCCTATTATAATATATGTATGAATATTTTTTATGTAGTAGATTTATATATATATATATATATAGTTTTTGTCTAGCAGATTTATATTTTTATCAATACAATCAATAGAAAATTGATTTCCTCTACAAAATTTCAAAAACTTTGTTTTAAAAGCAATAGTAACAAATAATATAAAATGAAGATTTGTATATATCTCACATAAAATGGAATATATATATATATATATATATATATAATATATATATATATATATATATATCACAATAAATCGTTTATTTTCAGAATTTGCTAAATGAATAAACCAATTTGAATTTTACTATAAAATTATATTTTTTGTATATATATGACAACCTAAATCATTGATTCTAATAAATATGATGAAATCAAAAAGAATATTTCATAAATGAGAACTAGTGAGTGTCCCGTGCGATGCACGAGAAAACAATTTTACGATTGTATTATAAATTAAATATATAAATAACATTGATCATGATCTACCCATTATTTTAAATTAAACCGGATTGGACACAGACCGACCGGATGGACCGAGAATCAGTTTATAATTCGCTTGAATAAAAGATTTGCTATTGAATCCGTCAACACCAGTCGATTGGGTGGTAGGATCTTTCTAAATAAATTTTGCTACATTTAAAATTATTGTAAATAAAATTACATATTTAAATAAAATAGAGATTTATAAATTGTTTATCAATTAGTTTAAACATTTGAATTTATAAATTATTTAGATATATATTTAAATTTATTACAAAAAAATCTTATATATGTATATTAAAATTTTTGTAAATAAAAATCCGAAGAAATCACAAGTGATTTAATAAAATAACTTGATCGTTTCGATGACGGTCCAATTTTGAAAACCTTATATTTATTGTACATTAATAAAAATTATAATAACATATTATTTTATTCACAAAAATATTACTAAAACGATATATAAATATTTATAAATTATTAAACATGTTGTCATAAAAGTATTGTTAATATGATTATTTGAAGTTTGGACTGCATCACATTTATGTAATAAAGTATTTTTAATATTAAAATTTATATTTAAGTTCAATAATCGATTTTGTCTGGTCAAACTGATATATAACTTAGTCACCTGGGACCAACCAAGTTGTATCAAGTTTTTTGACTATTTTAAATATCACCTAAAACTAATTCAATCAACCTGGACAGTACCCTAATTCAATCACCCGATTAATCCAAAGATATTTCCTTATTTTCTATAAATGTATTTAATTTTATGGAATATAAATATTTTATGATTCATATAATAAATGTCTACACCAAAAGATAGTATATTAAGATTATAAATTATATATTTAAAGATGAATTAATTATTTTTACTATGCATATTAAAAAAATAAACATGGTAATTTAAAAAAAAAAAAATATTAATTGATTGATTATGAATTTAAAGAATTTTAATATTTTTTTGAAAGACACAAATATAAAAAACGCGATTCTAAAACTTTTATTATATTTTGAATTGAAATTTTACCAATATAGAGACCGAGATTTTAATGTTATTCTTTGTTTCTAAGAAAAGAATAAAAATAAAAACATGCACACTTAAAAGATCTTAGCCATATTTTTTAAATAATAAAATGAACTAAAGCCCGAAATTTAAGATAATATTTTAATGTTGTATGATTTTTAAAGAAAATAATAATAAAATTAATAAAACTTGCTATTTATGGACTGCTTTAAATGCTAACCTATTTTTTTACTACAATTTTTAGTAAATAAGTTGTCTCTTTGTGTGTCTGTATGTATATATATATATATATATAGACATTTATCATGACATTGTTAGTTAGCAAATTATCGTTTAAATTAACCAATGTCTACATGATACTATGATAGACATTAATGCGATTTTAAAATATTATCTACTAATAAACCATATCAAAACCAATAATTATTATCATTATGATTTTTATTATCAGATTAATTGATACAAATTTGTATGTTATTGAGTGTTGAAACCAAATTTTGATACATGTCCACCTGTCTGCATGTTTATCTTCAAAAATTTGGTATGATTTTGGTTGGATAAATAATCAAATCACGATAAAAAATAAGAGCATATTTTAGTTAATTACGTAGTTAGAAAATTATGGATATATTTAAAATGTTTGGGATAAGAGTTGTGTTTAAATAAATCTCTATCTCTACATGATAAGAATTTGGATAAGGCTAAAATTCAAATTCAAACAACCTATCGACAAATTCAAATGATCCACGGGATATGTTGAAAATTTTCAAAAAAATTTGATATGTTTATTATTTTTTAGGCGGGAATTCCTCTTATTTTTTGCTTAGAATTGTTTAGGTTCCCTCTTTATATATAATAGATATGTCCATTTGAAATTTTTGATAAACCAAATTTTGCTATACATCCACCGGTCTGCATGTTTATCTCCAAAAATTTAGTATGATTTTGGTTGGATAAATAACCAAATCACGATAAAAAATAAGAGCATGGTTTTAGTTAATTACGTAATTAGAAAATTATGGACATGTTTAAAATGTTTGGGATAAGAGCTGTGTTTGAATAAATCTCTATCTCTACATGATAAGAATTTGGATAAGACTAAAATTCAAATTCAATTTCAAACAACCTATCGAAAAATTCAAATGATCCACAGGATATGTTGAAAATTTTCAAAAAAAATTGTATGTTTATTTTTTTTAGGCGGGAATTCATTTTATTTTTTACTTAGAATTGTTTAGGTTCCCTCTTTATATATAATAGATTTGGATAAGACTTCAAATTAATTCCTAAATAATTTTTTTTTTTAAAAAATCTTAAAATAGTATGTATAAATGCTTTCATAAATTTTTGGATTATTATTTTTAGTAAATAGTAATTCTTTATATATATATATATATATATATATATATAT